GTGGCCCAGAGTGAGGAATGCGACCGAACCTGAACACGCGGACAAGTCGGTGATCGGTAAGAGAGGAGATAACATCTGGGCATCTGCGTCCCAACATCTGGCAAAATGTCCTTCTCCAGCTGGGATTGTGCACTGCGATTTTATTCAGGGAGCATTCAACACGGTTTTCGAAAAATAAACTCTCAGATCAATGAGCTCTCATCCTTTCCCAAATCCCCAAATTACTTACAACCCACAAGTACATTCCCCCACAAAACAACTAATAGTTGTGGTCGACGGTCTAAGGGCAAAACCCCAGATAGATAACAGATTTAGATTTAGATTGAATTCATAGATTTAATTATGTGAGAGTTGAGGACGAGAAGTGATTGGGGTGGGAAGGTGGTGGGGGGGTGGGGGGGGGGGGGGAATCTTTACTCGAGTAAAAAAATCTCGACTCTAAATTGAGACGCTGTATCAGATGCAATGATTATTATTACTCTCAACAGCTTCAGAGTTTCTATTCTACGTGGTATTGATGAGTCTGAGGTTAAACGTGTAGTCACTAGAGGGCAGTGTCAAATAACGAATGGAAGGATTGATTCAGACAGCGATGGGTAACCAACCAGTTGGAGACTCCTAAATCCCCTTTATATTTTACTGGCGATGGATAAAGTGGCAATTGTTCACTTGTAAATAAACGCGCTCATCTGCACAGGGTCCATGGATAAGTCCATGTTCAACATCAACCAAACCCTCACGAATTCCTGCCTCAATCGCCGGGTGAATATCACATTGAACTGAAAACGCTCTCTTTTCTTTTTTTTTAAAAAAATGCGTATATATCTTTATATTAAAAAAAAACGGGAGTAATCGGTAGTAATCTGTAACTATGTCGAATCGAATTCATTTCCGATCGAAATCACGAACCGAATATTTTTTTTACCCCAAAAAAAGAAAAAATGCACCATAAACATTGCATAGCGAATAGCGAACTCCCGAATCAAGCGTATTATAGGGTGATTGTACAGGCGCTTTGCAGATGCGCTGAGGAGTTCAAATGTTCAACAAGTTACAAATACATTTCTGGCTTCAGAGGGTAGGGGGTGGGGGTGGGGGTGGGGGGTGTTGTATTGATCTAAACCCCATTTTAACAGCGTTCGCTGTGTTGAGGGGGAGCACAGCCGCTTGGAGACAGACACAATGACAATTTAAACAAGTGTTTGGGTATTTGGTACAGATAGATGCGAGAGAGAGAGAGAGAGAGAGAGAGAGAATCCAATTCGAAGGAAAATGTGAGTTCACAAACACACAGCTCTGGCTGCTGATGGTTCATGTTTTTTTTTGCTGTGCCTGTTACTGTTGAACCGTGCTGTTTTCAGTCGTTTACTGACATTGCAATCATTCCAGACACAATAAAACGCCTGGACACGATACTTACCAGCGGGTTTTCTTTCTCCTCTCCCATCTTTTTTTTCCTTACATGTGTTACTTTTAACGGGTGTAAAAAAAACGTATCTATTTAAAAAATATAATAATAATAAGGAAGGGAGAGTCTGTGACTGTGTGATGGGGTTCGATTGGATTGAGATGCATTGACAGAGAGAGAGAGAGAGAGAGAGAGAGGTAACACGCTCAGACCTTTAAAGCGGTTCAGCGATTTGAGAGCAGATAAATATTTTTCGTGTACTACATAGTCTATGAAAATCCAGGTGTTTGACGTGTGTGTAAAAAAATTCCGATGCGTCCAGCTCTTACTTTCTCACAGAGACATGCAATCCGAGGTGAAGGTTTAAATGGGGAACAGTAAAGGAATGAAACTTCACTGCGGCACTGGAGCAACAAGCAAGTGCTTCACTGTACATTACATGTTACTGCCCGGGACCCGACATACAGTGATAGTTTATCCACCACTTTGAAGCTCGTTTGCTGAAGGCAAATCCGCAGGAAACTCTCTCTTAGTTTCCCCTCCGGTCGCTGGGACGACTTTATTGGAACGGTGCGAACCTGTTCCGGACGATTTTTGCAAAGAAAAATCTAACCTTGTGTTCGATGAATAATGCCATCGTTTAGTTGTGGGATATTGCCTTGTCTGGACTTGGTCATTTATTACTCTGGGATCTGCAGGGGAAGCGGCTTAACGGGTTCGCTCTCTCTCTCCGTGTGTCAGAACAGTTTAGTACTAATATAGTGCGTTTCGTTGAAAAATACAGTCACTGCACTTTACACTCTGATATGTTTTCTGTCGTGAAATGCGCTGTATGTATCAAACGCGAGGTATGTTATTATTACTGCCATTACACTGGTGCCGATGCAATAAATAGCTATAATTAACGTTTACTGAAATAAAAGTATCGGAATCTTCTTTATTCCAATGTCTTCTCGTGTGGTCCAGTTGGAATAACACACAATAGGTGTGGAGTCAAATGCTTCAAATGTGCTCACATGTCCCCCACCCCACCTCTTCCCGCCATCCACACACACACACGCTATTCATTCAGTCTTTAATTTTCTTATATTTATTTACCATAAAGCGACCAAACTTTTGCAAGGTTTGCTTGTTGACTTGAGTAAATTCGATATTCGCTCGACTTGACTGTAACGATTACGCATACACAGAACATATATATATATATATATGTATATATATGTGTGTGTGTGTGATTTAAAACAAAAGCGCAATTCGCAAATGCTTCATGAAAAGTGTAACGGAAAATCAAGGGCCAGAGATAACAGATCAATTAAAAAAAAACTAACCAGAAAGTGAGCGAGAGAGAGAGAGAGAGAGAGAGAGGGTGGGGGTGGGGGGGGGAGAGGTGTTATCAGACTTGCCTTTGGGAGAACCCAACTGGGGCGTATGTCGCTTATCGCTGTAATTATTACCCAGATGGGTCGTGTGAGTTGAACGTGTCAAATAAAACAAATAAGGAGGTTGGTAGACAAAAAAGTCAACACGGTAGACTTTTTAAAAAAAACACAGACAAGCTGGATCAGTAAACAGAGCGATCATCGTTCCACTCCTATTTCCCCACTGGTTTGGGTAGAAAGTGGAAAAGTAAAATTCGATCTGTTGCAATCCCCCCTCTCTCCCCCCACCCCTTCCCCCAATTTCTTCACCTCCCGAAAACAATCGCATGTTATAACAGTTATGAGAACCATGATTTTAAAAAAGTTGGGTTTCTTTTTTGCTCTGCATGAGTGTAGTTGTGTGTTTAAGAATGATTTTAAAAGCCTACAAATCGATAGGAATAGACGTGTGTGTGTGTGTGTGTGCGTTTGGTCTCTCCCACCAACCCCCCCAGCAGAATGCACAGTCACTACACTTCACTGAAGAAGAAGAAGAAGAAGAAGAAGAAGAAGAAGAAGAAGAAGAAGAAGAAGAAGAATACTGCGAAGCGCTTTAACACGTTCTGCTGAGGCGCTATTTCAAATAGAAAGCGTTGTTGGTATAATAATGTTTATTTTTATCATCATTATAAATTGCAATCCATTTCCTCTTGGCTGATTTCAGTTTTAATAATATAATAATAATGATTGATTTCAGTTTTACCCTTAAATGGAACAAACTTCCATTATTTTTAATTAGCTTTGAAATATCAACCCATTCATTTTTTTTCTTGAACCTAATTGCTATAAAATGCAACCACTGACACGTGTTTCTGCTGACTGCAAAAATAATAGTAGTATTTTTTTTTTTTGGGGGGGGGGGCTTAGAAATAGTTTTATTTAAATAGGACAATAATTTTGAATTCTTAAATTGGGTTTTTAAATCTGATTTGGTATTGTTTCCGGAGCTGTGTTTTTTTTGAATAAAAGATACAAAAAACTAAGCAAACAAGACAGCGTTGCGAGGGATTAACGTGTTTGCAACTTGTCAGGAGGCGTCGTTAATTAACTAAACCCGATAAGCTTCTAACTAAAGAGCATTACAAAATTAATGCGTGAACTTCCTCCACACACACACACATACACACACGCAAAATCCACCAGAGAAATTCGATGCAATTTTCTCGTGTTGCCAAAGAAAGCCAAACACGTGAAGACCGTGGACCGAAATTAGACCAACAACAACAACAAAAAAGAATGAAACAAGTCTTTACTTAATAAGTCCATCCCGTTGCGATTTGTGGCAATCGATTTGCAAAGATGCATTCGGTTTTATTCGAGGTCCTCGACTTCATTCGGTGTTCCACAGGAAGAGATTGGTGCATATACACACACATACACACACACACACACACACACACATATATATATATATATATACATATAACACAGAAGCCAAGTCACTTTATATATCTTTTTTTTTGCAATTTATTTTATATTCGATGCGAGAATGCGACACGTTTTAAACGCAATAATGTGCGATGCAATTCGGACAGTGGCCAATCCTATTGAAATACTTCATGAGGAGTTGGGTGGGTGGGTGGGTGGGTTGGTGTGTGTATGTATGTATGTGTATGTGTGTGTGTGTTGTGGGGAGGAGAGAGAGAAAGAGAGATTTGGGTTTAAAAGACGCCACCTACGTGTGTGGTCATGTACTAACGCCCCGAATCCCCTCTGGCGATTGGGTCGATGTTACCAGAAGGGGTGGAACTTGTGCGCCGTAAAAGACTCGTTCGCCTGAAACTTTTTGGAAACTTTCTCAAACGCTTTAAGGACTATCTACGGTCGCCCCTGTGATCAAGCGACTAAATTGGATCCACGTTTCTCTCCCACTCTCTCTCTCTCTCTCTCTCTCCCTCTCTCCCTCTCTGTCTCCCCTTCTTTCCCCCCCTCTCCCAACCCACTCACCCACCACCACCACCACCACCACCCCCTCCCCCCCAACCAAACCCTCGAAACCCCCTTCTAACTCTTCCTCCTACAAAATAAAGCTGATCATTATTTTTTTTTCCCCTTTCCCCCCTACCCTTCCCCCCCCCCTTTCCCCCCCCACCCACCCACCCACCCTCTCCCCAACCCCCATCCAAACCCCCCTCACCTCGCTCCCCCCCCCCCCCACACTCCCCCCTCGCCCTCCCCCTTTAAAATAACAACTCCGATCAGGCCGGCCGGGGGTGGGGGTTAAAAAAAAAAAGGATTTGTACCCGGAAAAAAAAAAGAAAAGAAAAAAAAAATCAGCCCCTTCCCCTCCAGTAAAAACGTTTCGACCGTCGACGATGCAGGCACGGTACCCGGTGTCAGATCCCAATGCCCTCGGAGTCGTGCCTTACCTCAGCGAGCAGAATTATTACCGAGCCACCGGCAGCTATGGCCCGATGCCCACCTCGATGGGTGTGTATTCGGGGCACGACCAGTACACCACGGGCATGGCCAGACCCTACGGACCGTACCACCACCACCACCACCACCATCACCACCAGCAGCAGCAGCAGCAGCAGCAGCAGCACCCGGCACCCAAGGACCTGGTCAAGCCTCCCTACAGCTACATCGCCCTGATCACCATGGCCATCCAAAACACGCCCGACAAGAAGATCACTCTGAACGGGATCTACCAGTTTATCATGGATCGCTTTCCTTTTTACCGGGAGAACAAGCAGGGCTGGCAGAACAGCATCCGCCACAACCTGTCCCTGAACGAGTGCTTCGTCAAAGTGCCCCGGGACGACAAGAAACCGGGCAAAGGCAGCTACTGGTCGCTGGATCCGGACTCGTACAACATGTTCGAAAACGGCAGCTTCTTGCGGAGGAGGAGGCGCTTCAAGAAGAAAGACGCGGTGAAGGAGAAGGAGGAGAGGGACCGTCAGCAGAAAGACCCCAAGGCGGGTCAGACCCCCGTCTCGCAGCCCGACGCCCCCTCGAAGGACGACAGGAAGGTCGTGGTGAAGAACGAGGCCGTCTCCCCGGGTTTGCCCGTCGTCGTCACCAAAGTGGAGGCGATGGAGAGCTCGGAGAGCGGCAGCGCGATGCAGGACAGCCCGAGAAGCGGCGCCTCCACGCCCTCGGTCTCCACCGAAAGCTCCATCCCGGATCACCAGCAGCCGCCCGGCAACAACGGCCTGACCGGCTTCAGCGTGGAGAATATCATGACCTTAAGGACCTCCCCGCCCGGGGAGCTCAGCCCCGTCTCCAACAGGACTGGGATGATGTCCTTGTCTGCGCACTACGCGCACGCACAGCAGCCCATCTACAGCCCAGCCTGCAGCCAGAGCCTGGACTCCAACGGGGGTTACCAGTGCAGCGTGAGAGCCATGAGTCTGTACGCCGGGGACAGGAACAGCCACATGTTGGTGCCCGGCACCGTGGAGGATGCCATGTCGGACCACTCGGTCAGCGCCGGCTCCCCGTTGAACGCTATGAACCTGAGCGCCGGGCAGGAGGGTGGTCTGGGCTCCGGCCATCACCAGCAGCAAAGCGGAGGCGCAGGACAAGCCGCCTCCTGGTACCTGAATCACGGGGCAGAGCTGAACCACCTCTCGGGGCACTCGCTGGGGGGCCAGCAACAGGCTTTCCCCAATGTCCGGGAGATGTTTAATTCCCATCGGCTCGGCCTTGAGAGCTCAGTCCTTGGTGATCAACAGGTGAGCGGCAACACGAGCTGTCAGATCCCTTATCGATCGACACCTTCACTTTATCGCCATTCGGGCCCCTATGCCTACGACTGCAATAAGTACTGATTGAGAGAGAGAGAGAGAGAGAGAGGGAAAGAGAGAGAGAGAGAGTGAAAAAAAAACCAAAGCAACTGCTACTTTTTTTTATATAAAAAACACGTCTATTAGGAGAACGAAATGCAACACAAAACACACACACACACACACACAACCCCTCCCACACCACCCCCAACAAACAACTAAAAGACTGCACGTAAAAATATTGACAGAGACTTTTTGTCCCCCCCCCCCCCCCCCCCCATCCATCCCTCCCTCCCCCACTCCCCACAAACTGCGACGTGAGAGTCCAAATCAAACAGAAGAGAAAGAAACGTGATAAGTTGTTAGTTAGTTAGAGAGAAAGTGTGTGTATTCACAGCAAAAAAAAAAGTTCGGAAACGCAGTTTTGTTTGTTTAAACTGTTCTTAAGACAAAGTAAAGAAAAACACTACTTGAATTCACGGAAAGTTTAGCAAAAAAAACCCCCTCGCCAAAGTGAGGTCTAAACTTTACTGCGGACCCAACTTTTTTTTTCTAGGGCCAAGTTGTACCATTGTGTTTCTGTATTTGTTTGACAACAGTCGCGTCCCAGTTTCCAAGTGACTCCAAACGAGATGTTGTGATGTGCTGAGTTACCCTCCTTGTATTGATGGAAGGCTATATTTGATGTAAATTGTACGATTTTCTATGGAGGCTACTGCGTTAAAGAGCCATTTAATATATTTTTTAAAGTTCAGTTCACTGGATACTGTCTTTTTTTTTACCAAAAAAATATTCCCCCCCAACCTTTGTTAAGTGCCAAAGTATAATTATTTACACACCCTCAGTTTTATACCAGTGTGCCTTTTTTTGTACAGTACAATTTTTATTGTGTTCTTACTCCTTGGTATATGTGTTCCGTCTGAAAGCAAAGCAAAGAACTAATTTATTGGATGAATAGTATTTTTCTAAAACTCGAAATCTCACTCCTTTTCTCTCTTTCACTCTCTCTCTCTCTCTCTCTCCTTAAAAAAGGGACAGTTTTGTATTCTGACTTGGGCCTTGACGCCGTGATGCGCATTCCTTCAGTCTGTAGTGAATATTTCTTTTTTCGGGGGGAAAAAAAAGAACACTTTCCTTTCTGAGTTCAGTCGATCTTAATTACTGTATTTATCTGAAAAAAAATTACAATAAATCAGAGTTGTTCTTTTGCCTTACGTTAACTTGAAGTGGGTCGGTCTTTTTATATGTGTTTGGTTATATTGCATGCTGTTTTGTATTGTATTGGGACACTGTTTGGCTACTTTAGCAATCTGTGGCTGTATTTCTACACCTTTCCCCTCCACAATGAACCTGAAGCTCATCTTCTGCTGCAACTAAATAACCCTTGTTAAGTAATTGGCATTAATGCACCCACCTCTGCCTTGACAACTGTGAAGAGTTTACAGACTGACGTTTACTATTTAATATGTTCGTAGGAGAGAGAGAGAGAGAGAGTAAAAAAATATGTCGGAGAGCTCAATGCATTTTTGGATTTTCATATATATATATATATTTTTCGCTAAATCGACTAACCTAGCCAACCCGAATAGTTTAAGAACAAAAACGAGCATTTTAACCTTCTCAGCTCCTATTTAGAAAATACAAATTAAGCGAAGTTTAGCAACGTTTTATCTTGAGTTTTTTATTGCTTTTTTTTCCCTCCCAGAATTCACCTAATGTGCTTTACAGATGCTCTTGTTACCATTTGGCATATGTGCTTGTTTGTTTATACATATATCTAACGATCATAATAATAATCCTTGCATATGATATTCCGCCGTATTACACCATCGAGACATCCCAAAGCGTCTGACAGGATTTACCTTGAAGTGTAGTGACTGTGTATTTTGCAGGCAAAGCAATAATGTTTCTCGATTTCGGGAGGAAATTTAGACCTGACACCGGGAGCTTAACTGGCAAGGAATTTTCTGCCTCGAAGATTGAAAAAAAAACTCTTTAGAACCCAGTGTTTGAACAAGTGGTGAAAAAGCAGCTCTCAGTCAATTAATTGCAAGTTGGTTTCACGAGAGAGAAATCGACCGAAGGACAATACTTGCGTGTGAGATCAGAGAAAAGCGCAATTATTTCAAAGATATAAGGAGAAGTACAATGAACTCACGACACAGGTGAAACAAGGGGCGGTATGCATTATGTATTTAACTGTATTTAACTGTACACATTGCAAGCCTGAAGGCCCGAGGGTGCAATAGTGGGCTGTAACTCCTCTGTTAAACACATTGGTGTAGAAAGAGGGAACGCGTTTGACAGTACAACAGGTTAAAAAAAAATGTTGACATTGAGAATTAGTACTAGTTACTGCCTCTAGTCAACAGCTTGTTTTTTTTTAAAAAAAAGATACTCTGAGGTGTTTGACTCAGGAAGGCTCGTGATGCTTGAGGACTGATTTGACTGTTCCCACGTTATAAAAAAAAACCCACCCACCCGATCGAGGCGTGGACACAGCCAAACGTTGGGTTTTTGCAATCCTCCTTGCAAAGCTTGGCAGGTTTAAACGTTGAATTAAAAGTCACTGGGAAACGTGCGTAAAGTAAGCACCAGGAACTGTGGTGACTGACCAAGTGAGGAGCTGCGAGTGAGCAGGAATGAATGAAAGCGATTCCCAAGCAAGGCATGCATGCGGGCTTTGAGTCACCCTTTGCTTTCTCGTACACATTACTTCTAAGACCGATGGCCTCAGTAGATAGATAGTTGCACCTGTCATTAACAATAATACTTGAAAGTCAGCTGCGCGCAAAAACACACACACACACACACACACACACACAGCACACAAACATCTGGTGTTGGGTAATCCAAACGGAAATTCGTCAGGCGCTCTGGGGAGCCTGTTGATGGTATTGAACTATTTGGAATACACACGCACATGCAATTGGGAATCTTGTCTTCATTCGCTCACCAAACGTCTTTAAATCCATGTGATTTCCTGCCAAGAATTCAACATGGAAGTGGCGGGCAATGCGTGATCTTGATGTTATATATTTGCATTGACAATAGAAAACGTAAGGAATGTTTTTTTTTGTTTTGCACAGTTAATCCCATAACTCTTTGCATTGCCTGTGCCACTTTTTTAATCCCCTTTCCAAATCGTTCTTTTTTTAAAAAAAAATACATTTACCTACGTAAAACCTATCATTTTACTTTGAACGCCACGACTGGAGCTCAGTGTAACTGCATTAAATGCAAACTGGAATTTTCAAAGGCTAAAATTGAGAGAGGGGAACTGGTTTTGAACTTGGGGAAACTTTAATATATGTATTTCGGGAACTCTGCTATGCGTGTGTATATGTGTGTGTGCGTGTATGTTTATGTACATCGCAACAGGTATCAAATACTCCAGTCTAAAGACTAAACAAACATCAGTCCCAGTAAATTAAAAATTAATCTGAAACCGCAGTACCTGTTCTGTAAAGTCTACCTGAAGCCAATTGTATAGGTTCATCTTTGTATATAGGAAATAGGATCCCGAATTACAGTGAATCATTAATTGGGCCACTACGCTTAATTCTGCCTATGCTCTTGTCAGGGTTTATTTGTGTTCATTCTGTTATTTAATAACACAAATACGCATTCACATTTTATAAATAAACACAATAGGGGCCTTTGCAACCAATATGATTAATGGCGAGGGGTGTCCGGTTACAGAAATTAGCTTTGTTGAGTTTGAATCATAAACCATTAGTTTAAAAACAACTTAAGACTGTGTGTAAAAAAATGTGTAAACACCCTCGACTATTGCAGGGAATATTTGGCGTTTCGTTTCCTCGCCAAAATGTCAGGGAATTTTAAAGAGGGGAGGGGGAAGCATTCTTGCTAATACAGTACATTTTTTAAATTTTATTATTATAAATACACGCGCGGCTATCCATGCACGACTCTGCTGAGAATCCAAATGTTTTGGGGTCAGATTTCAAACTGAAATCCCCTAATAACAATCCCTCGCCACGTCCACAATCACAGAGGAACCTGAGAAGCATTGTGTTCTTGTGAGGATGGGTAGCACCGAGTTTAATAACACGGCAGTTGTCCAAAGATTTGTACTCGGTATGTGTTTACAATCAGTCAAATAAACTCCCAATTCTATATCGTACTCTCACCTGATTGTTAATTCCTTACCCCTTTGCCTTTCTAACCAGTTGGTGTTTTTCCTTTGTGGGGAAAAAAATATGAATGAATGGCAATGCAAACGTAAATGTGTTTGCAAATGCAAATAATAATGTGGTCACTCAATCCACGACTGTGTGTGGGACACTGCTGTGCGCAATTGTCAGCCACGTTTGGTCGCAAATTATACAGTCAATTCACTTTATAGTATATCCTGCGAAGAGCTTCCAGACGTCTCGAAGACGTGATAAGCTTCTATATCCAATTAAAGGATTATTGTTATTAATTATTAAGTTATATTCCTTTTTCTGTGCACTACGCGTTGAATTCTGTACTTCCAGAAAGCAGTACAAAACCATCAACTACTGTACTTAACGGACACTTTTAATTCAGTGTTAATGCAGCAGACTAATACAGAAAAGCGTCAGTGTAACGTTATGGTGAGGACTGTGGATCGGCGTATGTTTATGAGGTGGAAACATATGGAAATCAAATCGACACGTAGGGGTTCTGTCGAACCGTAATGAAGCAAACCGAAAACCAAAATATTCAGGGATAAACCACCGAGACTGGTCTGTGACAATTTAATATATATATATATCTATACATCTGGCAGTTTATTTGTTCCGCACTGTAACTTGCACTGGACATTTTAATTCTAATTCTAATTCTAATTCAGCCTCCAGTAAAATATTAACATTTCAGCAATGCTAAGCAATTAGTTGTCATGTCATGCGAGACAGTTCCAACTTAACGTTTCTCGTGAGGTGCGATTGTGGCTACACTTTTCACAACCAACTTTCATCACGTTACTAAAAATTGTGTTAATGAAACCTACACCAAGGAGGGGGGGGGGGAATGGACCTTCAAATTCCTTAACTCTTTGTCTTGTTAACCAGTGTTTTTTTTTGTGTGGAGAGAAAAAAAATATGAATGAATGTCAATGCAAGTGCAAGTTGTATTCCCTGCTCTTTCACATCCTCCCGACGTGAAGGGCTCTTTGCAAATGTAATTTTGTTGTTGTTGTTGTTGTTGTTGTTCTCTCCAACCGCCCCTCCCAGCCCTCTTGAGAAAGGAATCCACTGCCAGAGAAAGGTAGATTCCATGGAAATGGATGACACACGGCTATATTTCTGAAGTCTGTTACAATAACAATCCTTGCATTTGATGTGGCGCCTTGTCACGTCGTGGAGACGTCTCAAAGCGCTTCACGGGGTATACTTTGAAGTGAATTGACCTTATTATTATTTGGTGGACGAAATGTTCTTTGTATCGTGCAGTTATTGGATATAGAATTGATGTGCACGTGTACAGGATTCTAGATACACAGACCTCCCTATCCTCCAGCTTGGACAAGTATATCAAATAGATAGTTTGTCGTGACGGATATAAAGCAGCCAACATCGAACTCAATAGCAAATAATAATAATAATAATAATAATAATAGCGACTAATCACATTTTCCTCTTGTTTGCAGCTATTTGTTTTTAGCATTGTACAGTATACATATATAAAGAAAACTGCCCAATGAATGAATGCAATATAACAGCCCCACAACGAACAACGGACGTGAAATAACACACGTACATTTCACGCACATCACAGCACACAGATCTACACCGTAATGTGGGGATACATTTGATGTATGTCTCCTACTTCTTGGGGTGGGTGGGGGGGGGGATGAGAGGAAGTTGACTGGATACCATTTGTTGCATTTCACCCCATCCATCCTCCACCCCCCCCCCCCGGCCACGAAAACAAATGCAAATGTAACATGCAAAGATTATTTTCATACTTAAAACATTTTTGGAAGGTGTGTGTTTGTGTCCTGTTTATCGTGTGGGCAGTTTTGGGGTAACGACTCTCGAGTCTGTCAGCGTTCATTCATTCATTCATTCATTCATTCGTGTCATGGCATCGTTGTTAAAGTCATTACTATTTCTCACGTTTCAACTTCAACCTAATTACTTGGAATGACAAGACTCCACCCCCCCCCCCCACCCCCTCCACACACACACACACCCCCAAACCTCACCATTTCCACGTAATTCTCCAATCACATCTCCCATTGGTTTGTTTGTAGACGTGTATTTATTATGTTGTTATTTATACCGGTGTATATATTAGTCTCTCCCATTCTGTGACGCTCCATTGAACTAAGGACTTTTAAAATAAATAGCTGAACGAAACGAGTTCAGCCTCCGCCGCTGTTGAGCGCTCTGGGACGCTATCCTGCGCGCAGGGCGCTATTACAAGCGCAAGTTGTTGATATGTGTACGTTTACGAAAAAAACAAAGAGAGATAATGGGACATTTTCACCTTGTTGTAAAGTCAATTGAAAAAACCCCCACGAATCCTCCGACTCGTTCTCAGTACGATTTCAGCTCTCGGGCATTTAGTCAAAATGGGGGGTGGGGGGGAGAAGGGTCAACCATTGCTTCCTCAACACCTTTTCCTTTAAGATCTTAGTCTCAACGTCGTGATAAGGTGCTACATCAAATGCAAGCATTATTTATTACAGTCACTGAATAACCTTCGCAAATGAAATAAGGTTCAGAAAGAAATCCAAATCGTTGCTTTGACAACTGGAATGAAACGCGTGGTCACAAGATATACTTATTGGCTCGAATATTGCCCATTGTGAAACTGCAAGTTTTTTTTGGTGTAACATACGGTAGAGAGGCTCAAATCAACGGTGCTTAGGAACAGACTCTCTTTATTAAACGTTTTCTTTTCCAGTGGTGGGGAGGAGACAAGTAAAACGCTTCGCAAAGTTTCCACCACGAAAGGGTTTGCGCGGATGACATCCCCGAAAGCGGTGAAATAACAGTGCACAGTGAATGAACAAAGTCAAACGATGTGTAGTTCTGTTTCTCTGCGTTTAACATTGCCGACACGTCGTTGCAGCTTTGGTCCTGAAAGAGTTAACAGGATATCTGCGCGCTGCGCCTGTTGTGACTGTGGAACGAAATCTACGTACGTTATAGAGATATATATAGATATATTACCAAAAAATGTTTTATATTTGGGATTACGGTGGCGAAAAATAAAAGAAAACACACACGCTGTGTTGCAGAACTGGCAGGTTGAGCAGGATGTCTATGGTTTAACACACAGTGACTTTACTTGTCTTACATCTTGTGCCGGAAACATACAGCAATACCACAATCGATATGATATGTATACAGTAATTCCTAAATATGCATAAAGTTCCAGCCCCCCCCCCCCCCCACCCCACCACCCCCCCCAAAAAAGGCCATGTTTGAAATTTTACCAACACGACACTCTGATACATCAGTGAGATCTTACTGCAAACTTACATCGAGATTCACTACTTATTTGAAGTGAAACTCCCCCACACCCCCCACCCCCCCCCCCACACCACCCCCTCGTCTCACACACACAAACACACACACGCCATTGAAACATTATTCCTACACGTTCTGATAGATCCGCTGCTAATTCCACGCAGTTCACAGGGATGTCGGGTGGTTTGGGTTTGAGGGTATAGAAACCGACTGGAAACTGACACTCAGGTCACAGCAGAGGCTTTCGGCGACTTTATACGCAGTTCCAATCTTGTCGTCGTCCCCCCCCCCCCCCCCCCCCCCCCACACACACACACACTCAAAAATATCCGTTCATCTCATTGTAATTCTTTCACAATATAGATATATTATAGGAATAAAAAAAACATAAATCGTAAGAAACAGATTAAAAGGTGTTGCAATCGCAAATACTGCAACATGCTTCGCATTTTATCTCTGTGGCAATTGGCATGGTTTTATATCACTCGAGAAACCGAAAGTTTATACGATTAAGCCCCAGTACTTTGTGTAATCATTAGACAGCTGTGATTACTTGCAAAAGTTGTTATAATCCCCATCCTTATTGTAAACAGGAAAAAAATAGTATATAATATAAAGCAACAGGCATACATTCGCTGACAATATAAAAAAAAGAACTGGTTCATGAAAGGGAAGCGATTTGGTCACGGTTGCCAAGTTCCCCTTTTATGGATTTTTGTCGCTTGGAACTTTCCTTCGTTTGCAAGTGTTCTTCCTCATGACCTCCAACCTGTCCTCAACATCTGCAGATGGTTGGTTGGGTTGGGTTGGGTTGGGTTGGTGCAAACACACCGAAAGAAACAAAACAAAAAAAAATATTTAAGGAGAGAGGGAGAGGGAGAGAGAGAGAGAGAGAGAGAGAGAGAAAGAGAAAAAAAAGTTGCTCTGTATACAATTCAAAAAAAAATCCCTGCATCGGCCAAGTCAAATTGCCATTGAAATCTGTGCACAGATTTCAAATATAGGTATTGGAAGGTTTCAGGAGTTTGCAAGACTTCTTTTTTTTGGTGGTGGCTGTATGTATATATGTCTGTGTGTGTGTGTGTGTGCGCGCTTATAGCATCAGAGGTGGACGTGATATTTCAAACATCAGATCAGTGCGTTTATGTATTGGGTGCCCGGAAATTTTTTTCCAAATAAACACAGCTTGATTCAACTTGGGTGGGCAGACTTATCAACAGACTAATTCTATAAACAAATGAACGAACAACCAAGCGAACGATTGGCTGGTACGCCCAAGACACGTGGAAAAAAAAAGCCTAGATTTTTTTCTCTCCATGCAATGAAATTTAATTAATGTGGGTGGGCTGAGAATAAAACGACTGTTTATCATAGACAATTTATTTTCCAGTGGAAAGTCAACATAAAATAGCAACTTACAACAATTATTTAACATTTTGGGCTGTGACGAAGGGACAATCTTTAGAGAGAGAGAGGGAGAGGGAGAGAGAAGGAAAGGCAGAGCTCACATTTGCTGAACTTTAGAACAGTTGGGTCTGTTGTGGGGAATCCTGTGAGTCTACTTTTGTTGAGTGCGTGTGATTTCTTTTTTTTTTGGAGGGGGGGGGGGGGTTGGGTGGGTGGGGGGGAGGGGGGGGAGATTGTTTGAAAGAAAAGTAAAGAAAAGGAGATACAGTAATAAAAAAAAGTCTGCTGCAGAGACGGCGTGAACAGACAGACAACTATGAATCATATCTATAGCGACCATCTGCAGCAATTCAGAGGGCAGAGACCTGCAATGTGCTTAAGCACTGGTCCTGGAGTCTTCCTGTATGGAGGGGGCACTGCCATGTTCCCTTCTTTGGGATTCGGTGCCAATAGCGTGATTGCCAGACACGAACCTCCTCAAAAGCCACCTTACAGTTACATTGCTCTGATCGCCATGGCCATCAAAAGCGCCCATGAGCAGAAAGTCACACTCAATGGGATTTACCAATACATCATGGAGCGCTTCCCATTTTACCATGACAACAAGCAGGGTTGGCAGAACTCGATCAGGCACAACCTCTCCCTCAACGACTGCTTTGTCAAAGTTTCCCGGGAAAAGGGGAAACCTGGCAAAGGCAGTTACTGGACGCTGGACCCAAGGTGCGTGGACATGTTCGAGAATGGCAACTACCGCCGGAGGAAACGCAGGGGCAAAGGCCCTGGACCACAGGACCTGAGGGAAGCCAAGAGGAACAGCAGGATGGACAGTCACCAGAAGGGCGCCAGTGGCCACTTGGCGGGCAATCCATCTCCCAAAGCCGAGGCTGACCTGGGCTTGAAACCACCACCCAACTCACCCGACTCAGGGGGTTTGTCAAGGGCAGGGATTCCGCCAGACAACGTCGACAGAGCGGGGAGGAGAAGAGGAGGCGACGAGGAGAATCTAGGAGGCTACCAGCCTGTGGTTGTCCCATCAGGAGCTGAGGGCAAAAGTGACCAGACCTTGAGGGGTGGTGATCTAGCGTTTCTCTGTCCACCTACAGTTGGGTCCAATGCCAAGGCTGTGACCCTTCCTCCAGCCCAATGTGCTGTGTGGTCCAGCCCCCCTCCCTCAGGACGATCTCTCGTTGTGCCCACCCCTCTTGCAATGGTCGCCTCAGCCGAATCCGAATTCCAGGCCGACCCCAACCCTGACCGAGGAGCATCCAATTGCCCTTCCACCGAGGTCAGCGAAGGTGGGACGGTCCCACCAACACCGGGAGCGGTTGCCCGAGGCGAGGCAGCGTCCAATGGCTCCCCCTCACCTCGCATCACCGGCTCGGGATCAGGGACTGAAGGAAGCCAGACTCTGCCATCGGAGCAGAGCAGCCAGAGCCAGAGCCAGAGCGGGAGGGGGAAAGCAGAGAGCAATCACAACTCACACCCGGAGCGATTCAGGAGCTTTAGCATAGAGAGCATTCTCTCCAAGTCAAGCCACAGCGCCCAGGATGACAAACCCACCGAGCACTCAACGCCAACGTTGCATTTAGAAGGTCTACCCAATAGATGTTTTGGCAATTCCCTTTTGGCCACCTCAAAGGTCTGCACAGCTTTCAATACCTCCTTGACGTTTGATACGCATCAGATACCTGGTAAATATTATCACGTCGGGTTCCCATTTTATTCCTACATCCCATTCGCCTGTTCTGAAGCTTGTTTTAATTTGAAGTAGAGTTCAGACGACACGACCCACATCTACACACACACACACACACACACACACACACCTCATGGTACTGCAGTCAAATCTATTATTTTATTTTTTTTGCTTTCCCCCCCCTACCCCACCCAAAAAAAAAACAATTTAAACATCTTTGCGAGATTCCAAATATGCTAGCTTTGATCTATATACATATATATTTAAAAAAATGTTAAAAAATCTCCTTTTTTTGGAGGGGTCGGTGGGAGGGAGGGTGGGGGAAGGGGGGGAGGGGTTGGTCACACGATTTTTTAAAAAATATACTTAAAACAAGTGTTTAATTCCAAGCCCCAAAAAAAAAAAAATTTTTGCTAAGACAAATCGGTGAGGGAACCTTTCACATCTCTGGTGTAAAAGCAGTTTGCACCCCTTTTAAAGGCTATCACTGACGCTCTCCATCCTGTGATGCCCTGTGTTAGTCGCCATGCAGAAGCGTTTTAGGTAACACCGATTTCATTAATTCACTAAGTAAACGTCACGCTTTGCTTAAGCACATCATGATGTCAGCCACATTATGAGATAGATTCCAGCTGTTTGCGTTAATGTATATTTTTTGCAATGTCATTGTCTGTATATGCTGTACCGTCAAATAGACGCCTCCTCGCCTGTCAGCCAAGTAACACGTTAAAGAGTTGGCCCCTTTGGTCACAGAAAAAAAAATTATTGTTGCACCAAGTACTAAAAAAAAACGTATGTTTTACTGTACTTTTTTTTTAAACTGATATTCTGTAATAGACCCACACGAAAAAAAAAGCACCAAATACCGAACGGAAGTGTCTATTCGGGTTTTTTTTTGATGAGTATGTTATTTGTCATTTCTCATTAAAAATATTATTCGGGCTATTTTTCCACATCTCGGTTGTATTTTTTGTGCCAATTGTGGGGAGAGTACAAGCGACCGGAGATGGATGATAGGTTCGAAGTACTTGGGAATGTTTTCAAGAGTTATGTGTTTGCAAAAGAGTTTTGCGAAACTGGGAAATAAAATGCGATGGATACTTGCTTGGGGTTATTATTTTTTTTGGGGGGGGGAGAGAAAGATTAATTATTCAAGGACATGTTATAATTATTTTTCCACTCAGAGGAAAGTAAATTAATTCCATAAATACGTTGTTTAATGTTATTGCACTCTGGTCTGAATATATTAAACTTATTTCATTCTCTACAGCAATTTCAGTAGTTTGCAGAACTATTATCATTGTGGATTAATATTTGACACGAGAATTTCCCGAGGCATACATTTCCTCAGGGAAATTAGGTATCTGAAAGGTTGCAAATATTTGTTTGGAACGAAACATTACAAAAGGTAATGAGTGATGTCATGGAAATTCGGTAGTCGTGTTATAAGAGAACTTTTAATATTGTTTTCTCTCTATTCCCCCCCCCCCCCACCAAAAAAAAAGACGTGAAGCTGCAATGTTATGGTAAAAGGAAATTCAAGTACCAAACGCTAATAAAAAAGAGCCGCCTCTTATTTATTTGGACAACCCCAACTCCAAGCTAACGGTTAATTGAGTCTTCGGCGCGTTAATACTTTTGCATCACTGGGCTCTTTTGCTAATAATTATGGCGAACGCACGGGTGGGTGGATTTGTACCCTCACCACCACCACCCACCACCACCGCCCTCCGAAAGCCAGATCTCTATTTTAATTTGCGTGCGTGTGTGTGTGTGTGTGTGTGTGGTGTGTAAAAAAAATAACACGTCTCCCAAGTGGAGAGTCAACGTGAGTCTGGAGAAGGAAAGCAAGAGTGAGGGGCAGAGTATTAGCAGTTGAACACTGATGAGTGCCTGAGATGCAATTAACGCAGCATTGCAGAAGGAAAGCGTGTGGTTCCCACAACTTGGTGGCTTTTGGGGCTGTTGTTGTTGTTGTTGTTGTTGCTGCTGCTGCTGTTGCAAACGACTGCAATCTACTTTATCTGCTGTTGCTGCTGCTTTTTTTAAGTTCCTCGTCAAGTTACAGAAATAGGTGATGTGTGTGGACAGGGCTATGGGTTTGACGTGGAGATATGAGCTGACCATCAACTCAACTCAACTCAACTCAACCCAACTGGCCTCTTAAAGGGGGAAACTATTTTTTTGTGTGTGGGGGGGCAAATCAGTTATTTTGGGGGCTGGAGTGATGGTGTGTTGGAGAAAAAAAAAGGGAAATCTGTTCTTTTTTGGGTTTTTTTCGGTTCAGGAAATGCATTCTCCCATCGATTTTGGCGATTAAAATAAAACATCCACTTGTTATCGTTTATATAGAGGAGGGGGGGGGGATATTTCAGAAGGTTTTTAAAAAAATGCCTTTAATTATTCCAAGGTTGGTGCAATTCACGTTAATTAATTAATTCAATTTTTTTTTGGGTTGGGGAGAGGGAAATGTAGAGAAACTCGACAGCCTTTTATACGGAGGTGAATTTCGCGCTCGGAATATAAAATGTTCAGAAAAACGAATGAAAAAAAAGGAATTTTTTTTTTAAAAAAAACGTTTGGTGCAGGAGAAAATAAGAGGGGAATTAATACTCCGAGTCATATTTAATGAATGTCTTAATTTAGAAGCGTTTAACGTTCATTTACAATGTGAAAATCATATTGTGGTCATTTACTGAGAATTAAAAAAAATACGCACACAAGTCGTGCAGATAACAAGAGAAATAAATGTCCCCCAAACCCAAAATGCTGGTGTGATATGGAAGAGTTATTTGGGAGGACATAACCTGAAGTCCGACCATCAGATCACAGAGAGGTCAAGGTAATGCCCTCTGGTCCCCAAGTGCATATGTGGAAAAAAAAGATTTGTTTGATTGCAACATAAAAGGAAATAAATAAATCTCTCCCTCTTTTCGAACAAGATCTCTTTCTGGATATACTATCTTTTTTTGTTTGCAGTGTGCAGACCAGGAATGTGCATAAAAAGTAAATAAACTTCATCCGATTTCAGCAAAGAAAGAAAACTTTTGCAAGTATTTCCTGTTTAGACTTTTTTCTCAATATAAATCAAATGCTCTCATGCGCAAAACAGTTCCTTTTTAAATTATTCTACGCACCGCAGTCCTGTACTTCAAAGTTATGCTTTACCTAGTAAATCACAAGCTGACAAAACTGAGCATAAATTAGTATTGCATTGCATACATGCATACATGAACTTGGGAACCAAAGAGACCTCGTCTTTAATGGGACTTTGAAAGCTTGTGTATATATGTAAATTTATGTCTGTACACTTGTGCATATATACGAATGCGTGTGTAAATTTAATGGGGTAAGGGGGAATGGAAGCAATTTATTAACTTAAAAAAACTTTAGTGATTCACATTAAACTTATTTCTCAAATGCAACTTTAGTTTATGCAAAGTTTTGCTCATTAAAATAAAAGTGTTTTGAGAAGAACTTGCAATAAGCAGTACTTTCTATCTCTCAATATTTGTGGAGGATAGCAACGATAAGATTATATTTGTGTAGGGCCTTTCACATCGGGAGGACATCCCAAGGCCCTGGAAAAGGGTTGTAACAACAAATGTTCTGCTCACAAAGTACACAATCAATCCACTTTACGATTTATTCTGTGATGCGCTTTGAGATGTCTCAACGACATGATACGGTGCTATATGAAATGCAAGGATTATTATTATTATTATTATTTAGCACTGTTATGTAGGTATCCTACGCTATCATGATATGTGTATATTAGTAGCTGAATGATGGAAGTGGGCAATGGGTTAAAGCAAGTTGGCATTGAGAAAACCAGGGCTTGTTAAATTCACAAAGTTCAGTGGTCAAACTCCGATATGTAACTGTAATTAAATACCAGTCCAATGTCCGAAAACAAAGAATAATAAGGACTTTAGGAGTAGACCATTTGTCCATCCAGTCTAACAACCCAATTTCTTACAAAATTCCTTTGTTGTATCTGTTGAATTATTCTAAATCCTTTTAGTTGACAAGAACTTGTCTGGTTTCTTTTTGAAATCCATTGTGGTTTCTTACTCCACCACCTTTGTCGTTACAGGACTTGTCACCCTTTTACTAATAAAAAAACACTCTGCTTTTCCAATTCCCTTCTGTTGTATTGTATTTATTTTTGAGGTATGAGCCCTTGTTCTTGTATGAATATAAATTTTGGGTGACGTTATTCCTTTAGACCTAACTTTTGACAGAGAACCCAGGCGTGTCTCCAAGACATGGTGTCAATAGTGATAGGACAGAGATAAGTGTTCATTTTAACATTACAGGTGTTAGCAAGCCAGTGAACAGATTTTCAAAAATTCTCTAACATGTCGCACTGTCACATAATATCACCATCGTAATAATATAATAACCCTTGCATTTCATATAGCGCCTTATCACGTCAGCAAAATGTATCAAAGCGGTTCACAGAAATTACTGTACAGTGCAGAGACTGTAAAAATGCAGGTAAATGCGGCAGTCAATTTGCACACAGCAAAGTCCCACAAATGGCCATGAAAGGAATGACCAATTTTTTCCTGGGAGATTGATGGCCAGGACACCAGGAGAAACTCGGGATCTTTAACATCCAACTGAACAGGTTGGTTGTCTCATTTGGTTTAATGTCTCGTTTGAAGAATGGTGCCCTCAACAATGTAACGGACCTCCAGTTAGTTCATGTCTCAAATGAAGGATTTGTACCCATGTGCTCCTGACACAGAGGGAAAATGTTATTAACTGAGCCAGGCTGAGACATTGAATATGACATGATAAATGTTATGTTGTAAATGCTCTTATGCGTTCATTTTGTGATTTTGATTCATTAGAATGAGGAAGAACATTTCCCACTTTTTTACACAGCGTTAACACAAAGTGATTCCTAGATCACACACAGAAAATACACAGGGAAAAGTTCTCTCTTAACTCCAAACTCTCGAATACAACATTAGGACATTTCAATTTCCCACATAAGCCATTCTTGTGCTCTCTGATACTGGATATAAGGGTGATTGTAGATTGAAGTACTATGTATTTTCCAATCTGATTTTATTTCTGATCCCACTACCATTAATATGTCAGCTAT